TATTCAACACTCTTGAAACTTTGTAGAGAGCTTTGCAGCAACCAATTTTGAACACCCAGTGAAAAACAAATCAGTCAGTAAAACTTTTATCATTTGAGTAATAAAAAAGAAGGTACTTTGATAAGGAATTTGTTTATTACAAACTTGCATAAACAGTCAGATCAGATGTGACGTTTCGACCTTCAGTTGGCAAATGACCGATTTGAAGCGTACTTGCACTGAAACTGATTATTTTATCATGTTTGTTTGTAACAGGTGCACTGATTCAAAATCAGTTGTACCTATGCCTTTGAAATACTAGTGTGTGACTTTGTTGCTGTCTAGCCTTACCAAAGTCGGATGACGATGATAAAAGTCTTGACCCACACAATCGGCATAAAAAAACACATTTGAATTGCTCAGTGAAAGTTGTAAATCGGGTTTATAAAACACGTATGTTACTAATGTCGTCACAATTTAACTTATTAACATAATAAAACTTAAACATCATTCTTTATTCTTATCGTTGTTTGTTATTTTATAATTCGATTTCGTACAGACAGGCTACAGAGATACAGAGAGATATATCTTGGAAAGCTGTTTGAGCTGTTTGTCGATAGAAAATATTTTTTGAAAACACTTGAAATGTTGTTATACTTTGAACCGCCGCCGGTCAACAGAAGTTAATAAGTTATATCTCAGATTGCAGAAAAGACCCACACGTGAAAAACACTTCTTAATACAAACATTGTACAAAAGACACAAGGGAAAGCACCTTTCAATACAATCATTGTACAAAAGAAACAAGGGAAAGCACCTTTCAATTCAAACATTGTACAAAAGACACATGGAAAAGCACCTTTCAATACAAACATTGTACAAAAGACACAAGGGAAAGCACCTTCAATACAAACATTCTACAAAAGACACATGGGAAAGCACCTTTCAATACAATCATTGTACAAAAGAAACAAGGGAAAGCACCTTTCAATTCAAACATTGTACAAAAGACACATGGAAAAGCACCTTTCAATACAAACATTGTACAAAAGACACAAGGGAAAGCACCTTTCAATACAAACATTGTACAAAAGACACATGGGAAAGCACCTTTCAATACAAACATTGTACAAAAGACACAAGGGAAAGCACCTTTCAATACAAACATTGTACAAAAGACACAAGGGAAAGCACCTTTCAATACAAACATTGTACAATAGACACAAGGGAAAGCACCTTTCAATACAAACATTGTACAATAGCCACAAGGGAAAGCACCTTTCAATACAAACATTGTACAAAAGACACAAGGGAAAGCACCTTTCAATACAAACATTGTACAAAAGACACAAGACACAAGGGAAAGCACCTTTCAATACAAACATTGTACAATAGCCACAAGGGAAAGCACCTTTCAATACAAACATTGTACAAAAGACACAAGGGAAAGCACCTTTCAATACAACGATTGTACAAAAGACACAAGGGAAAGCACCTTTCAATACAAACATTGTACAAAAGACACAAGGGAAAGCACCTTTCAATACAACGATTGTACAACAGATACACAAGAGAAAAACACCTTCTGATACACAGACTGAGATAAGATACAATAGAGACAAATAATGAATTTAGCTGCATTACAAAGCTGCTTTGTTCTCAGCCTAGGACTCGTCAGTGATGCTAAGGACCTACATTTTGAAGTCTATGATGCAACTGAGGAAAATCCAAAGCTATCTGTGTGAAAAATCAAGATGTTGAGGCACCGTAGTCCCCTATAGTTTGATGTTGGATAAAGTAACTTTACACTTAATTCCAAACACTGATCTTTGTTTGCAAATATTTTCAGAAATTCGCAACAACTAGTATGGCCGAAAACGTTTTTTTCCCATTTTGATAGTAAGCAACTGTCCAGAAATTTGAGAAGCTTAAAATGTGCTGTAAATACGCTTAATCATATTTTTTTTAATCTTATGTTAATCCGTTAAAGGAAGAAGTCTGGAGACACCATAAACGACTACTGATTATCGGATGGAAGGTTTCTGGCGTGAAGCCAGACAGTTTGCAAAAAGAAATGACCTTGACCTTGTCCCACATTCAAGGTCACGGTTCAAGCTGCTTTTTCTCAACATCTTGATATTTAGCTAAAATGCTCCTGTGACGAAACACCATTTTTCTATGTCGTTTCTTTTTACAAACTTTGTTGCTGTACCCTGGGTGAAAATAGACATGAATATAGTATTGTTGTTTGTGATCGAAAATCAAAAAGATTGAATTCCGCATTAAAATCGGCCCGTCAGACACAAATATATTGACCTGTAAAGTGTACGATTTTCACCTGTCCAGCTACTAACCAGCCTAAGGATGACGTCACACGTTTAACGACTGTAGCAGCCGCTGTGTATTGAACAACCAAGATTGAGAACAGCCATGGCGTTTCATACATGTAGTTTTGAAGATTTAGATAATTCTGACGGTGATATTATGTAGACAGTAAACAACCATATAACATTTGTCTGAATTTTCAGGCAATGATCTATTTAAACATATTTATTTTCAACTTTAATTTTAGTCAACCGTAGTATAAGCGATGAGGCACAAGTTATGACAACTCTACGTCTCCTCCAAATATTTGTAACATTTACACATGGTTAAACAATTACTACCATGAAGACATGCATATATCTACAATAATTATTATCAATACATGTAACATTGAAATCTGTATCGACTTAATGAAAGACTGCTCATGTCCAGCGATATTTAAATTGTGCGGTAAGTTGCGGATTTTCGAACACAATTATATCATCTAAATTGAATTCAACATTTAATGTGGTAAAATTTCAGATCAAACTATCCCCTTAATTCGTATTAAGATGACACTATAAAATATCGTGAAAGATGTCTTCACAAAGATAACTACGACTTCAGGGTAACAAAGTCTGATAGCACTGTAAACATTTTCTAAGCAGAGATGAGGAATTTGCTGTATGTCTTGTCAGAATTTCTTGATTCCGAAGTTGTATTCAACATATTTTATCGAACAATTTAAATGGGATTTTTCAACTTACATTAAGCCGTTTCCTTATAAAGTTTGACAAAATACATTATGACAAGAAAAAACGACATGTTTAAATACAAACACGAAGAGAGAGAGAGAGAGAGAGAGAGAGAGAGAGAGAGAGAGAGAGAGAGAGAGAGAGAGAGAGAGAGAGAGAGAGAGGGGGGGGGGGTGGGTTTCATATATACCATTTATGTAATTTCGTGTAGATCAGTCCCTCCTTACCTGAATAAGGAGAGACATTTAATTTAACATTTAATGTTAGATATATATATATCAAAATCTGTTAGAGTTAAGTATATATTGCTGAGTGATTAGAGTTGTATATATATTATATAGATATCGTGGTAATATAATATCATAATGACAAAATGATGTCATTGTGCATTCCGTATGAAAGGTAGGAAATTAAAAAATTGGATTTTATTTCCAATACATCACGGACTTCTATAGAATATTTCCGTAATTATGATTTTCCAAATATACAAGTATGTATAAGTTTTAAAAATAACTTTAATGGATGCCAGCAGGTCGGTAAGAAGTAACATGAACTTCATCAATTAGTTTGTGGATTGAATTAGGTTATGTGTCTTCTGGTTTTCAATTTTTCAACAACATCCTCAGTCATGATAAAGAGGAAGGGACCAATAAGATGTAAAAACAAAACAAAAAGAAAATATCAGTGAATGAAAAACGTAAGCGCGATCAGATGGTTAATTAATACATTGCATATCGTTGAGACTTGAACGGATAGTTCTTCTGCAAAATTCCTGAATTTGATTTGTACATTTATCACGAATTAAAACCTCTAAAAAAAGCTGGATAGTATAAAGCATACAAATGACATGATTTCATCCCCATATCTCTAATAAACGCAACTATTAAAGATGGCTTGTCACAAAACAATATATTTATTCAAATTGCTTCTGACTTTTATTACTGCAGATTGAAATACATTAGTTGTCGCTCATTACAAGTACAGATATTTGCACCGATTTATTTGTTCTAATATTCTATCTCCATTTGTAAAGTATGTGGTGGTTGGGGCGCTTTCATTTTTTTAATCGGTTGTTGGTTTGTGTTGTATAAATCAATGACTTATTCACGGATTAGATAAAGAGACCTGCAGTTGGAAAGTATATTCACATTGACGAATTATAAGCACAGAAAGCATCCCCTTGTGTTCACTTCGCATACAGTTAATCGTTTGTCTACTCGAAAGGATATAACTTCAAAATTTAAATTGCAAAATGTCATTTCTATTTGTATCTAGCACTTAAAACATAACCCCCTGATGTAACGGAATATATAGTACATAAGCAGCTAAAAACAAGCAACAGGAGTTTCATGGTATATCTATACAGCGCAGATTTGACTAAACTCTGTACATGTACGTTGAAGAAGCAGGTATGTTAATATCTAGAAATGGTAAATTACCAATAAGATGCATAATGCTCATTATACAGCTTGGTGTCAAGTACCACGTCCAGAGGATATAATAGAGAGTGGTCTATGGGAGGTAACTCTTGTAAGATATGTGGAAAGATTGCATGCATCTCACATGAGAGATAAATTCCTTTCAACACACGTAATTGATGTAATTAAGTCAACTTATGAATTGAACTGCATTCTTCTGGGACATATTTATGCTAAGGACATAAAATTTAAAACTTTGGAGGTGACTGTAGAAAATCGTGAAGGCGAGGTGCACTAACCTCATAACTAAGTATTTCATTTCTTTCTTACATAAATTCGATATATTCAACAGAACGTCAGAACATGTGTGTATTCTGAACTGTGCCGATATTTGACGGAATGAAAACGTCGCGAGCAGTTTACACTATGGCTATGGCTACAGTAGTTAACCATGCAGTATAGTGCCTTCTGTCATATTGGTTTGTTAATATAATTTCTTAAGCTGTTGTACAACTGCATTTCAAAGAAAAATCATGAAAAAACATTTTTTATACAAAAAAAACTTTATTCCTTTACCTTTGAAAACAGTTATGAAATGTAATGTAAATAAATTGAACCAGTTTCTATGGATTATAAATAGTCTATTAGTTCCTCAATGGATTGTTGATTGGTGATTTTAACTGATTTCCAATGAGTAGATTGGTTCAATTTTATGTCTCTGTCGCTGCTATCTACAATGGTACTGGGAGATATTTTTCCAGTCCAACGTTCACATGTAGATCTTTGTACTTGCTGATGATGTTTACATATTGAGGATGTTTACTTGGTGCTGGTGGAGAACAATGCCAGTAAACCTGATGCTAGTCCAACAGAACAGAGGTAATTACTGAAGGCAAAGGTTAAGGACAAATACATACAATCAGAAAAATTGTGTAATATTGTGCATATTATTTGAACCAATGACCTCTAGTTTATATGTTAGCAGCTCTCCTGATTGACAAAGAGAAATTTCCTCTAACACAGAACTAGAATGTAACCATGTATCTATGCATAATTAAAACCTGTCATACTTCTGCCCATTGTAATGTGTTCGCCCCCAAATACCAAATCAACCTTAGCAAATTAGCTCTCAGTATCATCTAGCTCTCGTTCGGAATAATTTTAGTCTACAGTTACACCATTGGAGCTAAAGTGAAATTCTCTCTAACATTAAAATAGGTGACTATATCTTTGCCCAATTTTGTACTCGCCCATATATATTTCTGTTCACTTAAATAACAAACACAATAAGCCCATCCTTTGACTTGAAGACAAAATCTGTATGTTGGCCCTCTAATCTCAAAGGATAAGTATAGCACACATTTCAGTTTTTAATTCTGTTATATCCTTATTCATTTACAGAGCTGTTTACCAAGATGAAATAAGGATAAAATCATTTTTCTGATAGGTAAGTATTGATGCAAACATTCCATATTCAAAACATGTAATCGTTTCATACAAAAAGGATACAATGTAGGGTTGATACTCCTCAGGACGTAGAAGGAAGCAATCACCAGTAATACTAGATAAGATGCATTATTGTAGAAAATGGAAAACGTTGTAGCTTCATAATCTGCTACTTCATTTTTCTTCCAAAGTATTCTGCAAAAAGAAATTAATATATGAACTTTTTCCTGCATATGATATTATTATTCTTGTAAATTTTCAAATTCGGATCAACAAACATTAATAACTGGTGCTGGTTTTCAAAGATTTGCTTTGCCGTATGGTTATTGACTAAATCTTACCAAGAAAGCAGAAGGATCAGAATTTTTTTTAAAACTGAAACAATGTCAACAAATAAAAGAGAGACATTTTGAATGCCAGGACTTCAAAAAAAGAAGAAATTTCATTCAGGGGAAGCTTCATATCAAGTTTTAGTTCCAATAAGAGATGCCAGAGGGATCTTTACATCCACCATTGTTTGATCTTTCATTGTGCTTTAAAAGTTGGATCTTTTCCCTTCATTTCCCTTCTCTGGTTTTGCTCTTGATAATACAAAATTTGAAAACTTCTATGCAGAAATAGCAGTAATACAGGTAATCTTCAATTGCCAAATCCAAGATGATCGCCTGTCAGCCATTTTGTTTTTCTGATCAAACCCAAAATCAATTGGGCACCATAAGGAGCATATGGGGACATACATATGAAACTTGAGATAGCTCTATCCAGTATTTCTTAAGAAATAGTGATAATAAACTTCCTTTTCCAAAACTGAAGATGGCTGCTTGTTGGCCATTTTTTTTCTTTCCGATCAAGTCCAATGCTTACTTAGTGAAATCCAAGACGGCAATTTGTTGACCATTTGTTTTTTCTGATCAGTTCCAAAATTGAATGGGAAACTAGGGGCCAAGGGGAACCTACATATGAAATTTGAGAAAAATCCATCTGAAGAACTAGCAATACAAACTTTCATTGTTGAAATCAAATATGTTCTCCAGTTGGTCATTGTTTTTAAAATCAAATGGGTACAACTAGGGACAAGGGGGAAGCTATAGATGAAATTTGAGAAATATTCCAGTACAGCTTACAAATCTTCAGTTACCACTTCATTGGTAACAAACAAACTTTAGCAAGAACATTATCAATAAGGCTTCAAAAAAATTATGTTTGTACCTTTCATCCTTTTCTTTCTTTGTCATACGTTTATCATCAGCAAATTTCTTTGTCATCTCTTTGGAGACAGCGTCCTCTCTTTTTAAAGCAATTCTGTCAAACAAATATAATATATCTATAAATAAAACATGACTACTGGTAACTGTGCAAACATTTTCAGCCAGACAGTGATGAAGATAATATATCGTCAGGTCCCAGTATGAGCATTTCTTGAGTTTTGTGTAACCTGCAACTTTGAAAGAGATTACAGTCTTGGTTTCCAGAAAAGGTGTTCAAAACAAGTGTTAAATTTTAAGAAAAACATTGGGATACTAGAGTACGGCACAATCTACATTTTGCAGATACCGCAGCAGAATAAAAAGGTTATCCAACATAGCTTTTCTACATAGTGCGACTGGACATACTGTTGATACTATCAAAAGTTTGGTACCCCCAACAATATCCTGTCATAAACGACTCTGAATCTTTAACCGCATGTTAAAAACAAAACAACTGTGTATTTAGCAGACCAATTTTGAACTAAGTAAGAACAATGACTACTCATTGTTTTTAGTTTGTCAATACAGAAGTACTTACTTGTGTTTGAGGACAAATTTGACATTTTTGTAGGCGAGAGCAACCAGGTAGGTACTGATGATGGTTCCGACAGCAAACAGAATACCGGACTGATATAGATCCATCTGATGGATCCTCCAGAACAGCCCTATTAACAACACACAATATATAAAAATTTCTGTTTTTCTTGTGTCCAGGATATAACACCTCATGCTTAAACAGATCTGTACATAACAATATAATTCTGATTTGATTGTTCTCTTGTTTTATTCAGAAGTTATTAGCATAAATTTCATCATTTTAATATCTTATGATTGTAGCATACTGGTATATAAATTTATATATGTTTCTTAATCAAGTGGTGTCTCTAATTAGTTTATTGTTGATAGGAGCTTCATCAAGAACTCAGGAATCTATAGATCGGAATGAATCATCACTAATACTTCTACAAATAATTAATCTGCCACATTTACTTTTAATTATTACCGGTGTCAAAAAAATTGTACAGTATGTTTTAATTTGCCATTTTCATGAAGACACCAGCATAAATTGAGAAACTGTGGTTTTTACTCATTTTGAAAAATACCTTGATTAATTCTATAAAACTCCAAATACATGTTTGCAGAATCAAAATTTTGGAAAAGAATTATGATAAAGAATATTTTATCTAGTGAAAATAGGCAATGGGAGAAGGGAATTGGGTAGCAGACATTCTATTTACAAATTTTAATTTGTCCATTTAAATACAATTTAAGTTGATTTGTAAAATGATTAGTTAATATTTATCACCACATACTTAGATATAGCTCTATATACATATATAAGTCAGTGTTACAATTAATACCGGTTTAAGATATCTTATATATTTCTAATGACGATATCAATTTTACTTCAATATGCAGTATAGTACAGACAAAAAGGGCGATTAGTAACTAAGTCCAATATGTAAACGGTGCAGTCTCAATTTTTATATTTCAGAAATATGATGAAAAGATATTTTACACAATTAAGACACAATATCCTGACAATATCGTGTAACATATGCTAAATCTTAACTAACATCAACAAAAACAAGCGAGACAATATTGACAACGTGGCATAACGCCGGTATACCGGCAAGTTTAAATCCTTATTTCTTCATAAACTATGGACGACTTACAGATCGGAATTGCCGAAACAATTAGAGCATTTCCGTAAAAGAGAGCTGATGACTTTGTTGAGACATTTCTGCTGAAATCTTGCAGCAGGAGTTCCTCCTCCTTGGTGAGAGATTTGGGTGTCTTGCTCTTGCTGGCCATTTTTATTCCGGAAGTGAGAACGATCTACGACGGAAACTGAAAAAGAGCGCCGTCTAGATCAAGGGAGGTAAATTCCTTGATAATTTTTCCCCCGCGAAAAACAAATCATGACAAAAATTCTACATGTAACCATGGACGTATAATACATTATTACACAATATATTATACGTCCCTGATGTAACGAGTTGAATGAATAATCGATTGTGCACTGAAAATTAATTTGACTTGGTTGTATCATCAGAGATATACCTCAATACATGTATCCCTTTATTATAAACCTACTCTTTGATTCTCTTGTTTTATAATGGTACGGCGGCAAGTACACATTCAGATTTTTCTGACAACATAATGCACTGATGAATTTTTGTGACGACTTTGCAAACAAATATGACGATATTTGCCTTTATAACCCATTAAAACCCAATCGCAGCAATAATAGTTAGTGTAAAACGATGTTAACATTAGAACAGTCAAGTTCAATATTGAAAATAAAAAACAGAACACAGAGAAAGCCTAGAGACAACAACTACAACATAAACGGCAACATAATGAACTTTTATAAAAAGTAAAGGTAGCATCAGGAGATCCGGACAAGTTTGTAAATCTTGTGCATCTTTTCTGGATGATGACTCCTCATCGATTTGAATTTTTTTTTATTTTCGTTTTCTTTTGATGCAACCCCCACCACCACCTTGAATTATGTGGGGGATTTGGGTACATGAGAAATGACCGCACCTGTCTCGTGGTCTATCTGTCCGGGAGAAAACGCTATAATCTTTAAAAACAGCATAGACGTTCCGACGGATTGTAATATTCAGTGAGTATGGTAAACATCGCAAAATACACTTGTGGCATGTACACATATGTGGCATATGGGTATACACCGTTTTCTAATCAATATGTGTGGTACCAGAGACGTCTCTGGTGGTACATGAGAAGTGAAGTGTCAAAACTCAAAAGCAAACAAAGGAAAAAATCAATACCTTAAGACAGGCACCGGGTCCACAGATATTTTAGTTTTTGGCATAATGTACACTACATAGTTGTAAAAATGTAGAGATTAATGCAAAATTTTCGGATTTTGTGCGGTTCAGCCTCCTGTTCCTTCTTCCGAAAACCAAAATGATGTCATCAATCACTGCTTTTATGCCCCCGGATTGAAAGATCGGAAATATATTGTTTTTGTGCTGTCTATTTGTCTGTTGTGTAAACCTATTAATTATAGAGTTTGAAATGTCAATGTTCCTTTTAAAATATAATAAGAAAACTGAATCCTGGTAGTCTCTGAAACTTAATATTTATGTTAATAGAATTTACACTGGAAGAAAATAACCCATTACACTTAAGAAAGAAGGTCAATGATTAGAAATTGATTAACTACAACATTTAAAAAAACTTTTTTTTCTCTACTGTAGCAATGCTTCTGTCCAATATAAATAAGAAAAGATAAGAAAACAATTGAAAATGAGCTGGGTCCGAAATATGGCTTATGGAATACATTGAGTGAATTATATGGTATCAATCAAAGGAAAACATCATGATTACATATCTAGGGACGGAAATACTGTTGTGGCATCGAGGGGTAAGACACTGTACAGTATGAAGTGAAACCCTTCAGATCTCAGACAGTGCGGGTGTTGAAAAGTCTCCATGGTTATCCATCTCAGGCAACGCGAATGATCATATCCCTAGTTTCCAAGTTTCGCAGGCTGTTACACACACGGGACAGTCTTACATATTTACCTCGGATTCTATATGTGTTAGCACGGATTTTTTAATATTCTAAGACCGTAGTATTAACACCTTAGATTTCAGTTCTGATTTTTTATCTTGTATCTAATTACCCGTGATGCTTGGTGTCAGACATTGCGTGTTATGTTCTGGCTTCCTCATACACGTGTAAGTACTGTAACAGGTATCAGTTAGTGTTCTATTGGTCTTATCCTGGCATGCTGTATATTCAATAACTCTGATTATGTTATTGATTATAATAGTACTACTTCTTATGTTTTTCTTTTATAGTTACAAGGCGTAGAAATAGCTCTAATGAGCCAAAGTTACATTTTAAAATGTTTCTGTCTATGCTGTATTCCTGTGTATTTGTACGTATATTAAATGTATACATTCTATAGTTGGGGAATACATTTCAAGCTTCTGTGATCCTGCCGAAGTACAAAAGGGAGGGGGGATACTGCCGAAGTACAAAAGGGTGGGGGGTAGGGGCAATTGCCCCTCACTTTTTTTAATATCTGTTTGCCCCCTCCTAAATATTTTTATTTGAACTTTTGGAAAAAGGATACATTTCTTTATACTAAAGAAAAATCCACATGGAATTTCATCAAATTAATTTTTACAAATACCAATTGTCGTGGTCACGTTAGAAAATTCCAGAAAATCTTTTTTTCACAGTGTGATTTATTGCAATGGCGTAGGAAGCGGGGAGGGGGCAACTGCCCCCTCACTTTTAGACAACTTTCTACGCCACTGAGTTGATAAGATATGGCTACAGATTCGGCTTACATTGCTGGGCACCAAACAGTAATCGTGTCTGATTTAGTAAGACCACTTATGATTGTGATTCAGCACGAGTTATCTCTCTTTGAAGAGTTCTGATGAAAAATTGAAGTTAAATGGCGGACAAGACATGGAATCTGGCAGCATAGGTACTGTACAGATTTTTACAATATATATATAATTTTTTAAGCAGGCATAGTGAAGACAAATTTTACACCATACCGTTATACTACAGACTAATGACTTACCTAGAATTTTACTGACATGTAGTTTGTTTACACACAAAATATATGTACGTACAAGTGCCAGTGAGTCGAGACGAAAGAGACCGAACATTTCTGTGTTGAAAAATTATGATTCCAGGTCAACATTCACATTTATTATATTGTTATTGATATTTATTTATAATGACTGAATATAAAATATATAACACCGTAATAACTGTGAATATATGTTATATTTTCATTTTAGAGACAGAATTTTCGATCAACTGTCCAAATACCATGCTTTATGTAAAATAACTAGAATATTGTATTTTCAAGGAATCTGACGACATATGAACGGGTCAGATTGGTTACATCAAATAGCATATTAATTTTTTTAATGATGAAATGTATATTACACAGGAGTCAGTGTTCAGTTTAAACATAAAAAGTATTGTGATACTGTGTTTAACTGTCCATAATTATCCTACTACAGACTAATAGCACTATCACTTGATTTGAATTTTTAATGATGTATCCATATATCTCTCATCAACTCCATTTTGTGATGTCACTTTCACTTTTAGGCCTCCAGTAAACCTAGTTCTGCTTACATTGTAGTAGCAATCAAAAATCCATCTACTCCAGTTGTCCATTGATTATATATTCCTTTTTATTACCCGTAAATAACATTAGATCATCACCGAAGAAACCTAAGATCTATCTATGTGTTGTTTAATCAAGAATAACAAAATCATATCATTTTAAAGTGAAGTCCAGCTTTCTTCATTGTGGGAATTTTTTTAGATATGTCCAAATCCCCTTTTTCAAAATTTTGATGAGCACCATGATCTAGTACTACTTATAAATGTAATTTTGGGTGGGGGATACTACTGGAAAAGCATGAATCCAGGACTCAAATGTTGGAAAAAAAAAGTCATTGATTCAGGTACACCAGCAGTTACAAAGACACAGAAACTGCATGGCAAAGGAAATTTTGAAATTTGATTGTTACAATAATTTAACATATATGTGTTCATCTGGAAATTCTTTATAGATTTTGAATAGAATACATTAATGTACAAGCATAGAACAAGGTAAGAAAGTGGTGTAGCAGTGATTTTTAGGACTCCAATATTTGCATCCTGGGCTCATACTTTCCCTGTAAGACTCAGTCAGATGCTGTGAACCTACTACATTGTACAATATCCATGTATATGCATGTCTTAGTATTGGGACTGCTCCACTGATTTATCAAATTTTTGGAATTGGTGGTCAAGACTCAACTGAAGAAAAAAAACCTAATGCACTTTCAAGTCCTTTCAAATATCAGAGTTTGGTTAACATTTATTGGTCTAAATTCTTAACATATACACTATATGTATTTAATCTATTCCTAAATTTGTGAGAACTTTATATTTGTTTTATCCAAGTTTATTAAAAGTCCACTTGTGTGGTCAGTTATTTTGTAACATTATAATATAACTATATATATAATAGAAGACTACATTTACAGAGATTTGTGCTGTCATCATTGCAAGTATTTGTTACTTTTGGGATTATTATATTCAAAATCACATTTGTTTGATATCAATGGTAATTTGTGAAATTTTTAAAAAGGTTTTTACATTTTTTATTTGGCAAAGATCACACGAGATCAGTTATGAAATAAAAGTAATCAGATTTGTACAAATATAAGACATATGGACTAGTAGAACATGATTTGAAATCAGCTTATTCTATATTGGACCACAGCTATTATGATTACCTGGTAATTAGGACACTGCCTGTCTGATCCTGAATCAGCCTTGTAAGTTACTTAAAATAACACTTTACCAATATAGTGGATTTATAACACTTAAAATAACACTTTACCAATATAGAGGATTTATAACACTTTATAATTCTCAAAATTTAAGAATAAGAATTTATTTTAGTAAAATTCAACACTGTTATAAATTCATGTCTGCAAAGTACTTTGTTACTGTGAGATGGAAATATGGGTCTAACTGTCCTCTAGTTGAGTTTTCCTTCAAATTTTGTTTGGCTTGGTAAATTGAACAATTTGTTTTAGAGTAAGGGATACTTTTTTCACTCCACCTTCTTCCACCTGAGACACTTGCATTCTGTGATTAGTACAAAGGCGATGGCTGTTGTCAGTCTCCAGTTTTGCATTTGATGGTATACCTAAGTTGATTTGCAAACATAGGGCTAATTCTTCTCTCAATTGATAATTACTTTACCTTATACATGTGATTACATTGTCTAGTTTACTCAGATTCCA